CATAGACACACACATGACACAGACACGCACATAAAGACATAGACACACACATGACACAGACACACATACCCTTCCATACATCCATTCATTTTCTTCCCCTTAATCCATTTCATGGTCACGGGGGGTGGCAGTCAGAGCACCAGCCCCTCGCTGATCATCAGTGGGAGATGTGAAGTAGGTCTTACGGTGGGCTCGAACCCACGACCTTCAGGCCCAAAGCTCTACTGTACTGTCCACTGTCGCCTCTAACACTTTTACCCTTTGATATTAATAATTGTAAACAACAGCCTTTGAGATCTGGGTTAAACACCGCCATTACAGGAGCCTCAGGTTCATCCAAAGCCGCTCTTTGGATGAACAACCAAAATACAACCACAAACCTTCAGACATACTGTACATCCTTATATGGTAAGTACTTGTTCTGTGCATTACAAACGTTTACAAACTGAGCTGGTCCCTGCTTTTTACTGAAAATGTTGATCTAAAGATGTGACAAAGTCCAAATATACAAAGAGACAAAAAATGACTCAAAACCGTTCTAATACAGTTCATTTGTGGATCAGCTTCAGATCCACAGCTTTCAACAGGAGTCAACACAAAACACTGCAACAATTCATACAAAAATACCTTAACTTCATACTGAATTAAAAAAAAAAAAAATTCCAACTTGACCAGTCCTGGCTCATTTAGACCCATTTAGACTCTAAAGGGTCCTAAGAGTCTAAAAGAGTGGGGGCGGGTCCCAGCTCAAAAATTGTCCAAAATGACGTGCGCTGACATGCTGCAGTACCACCCCGGGCCTGTGGGGGTGGACCCGGAAAAGAATTAGCCAATGCTAACATATAGCATCTTCTTACCTCTGGAAAACGTCTTTACAGGATGGTCCAAAAGTGGCTCTTGGCCCAAAGCTCCGTTCCACATGTGTGTCAATGCTGAGTGTTCTGGACCAGTCTAGTTTAGTCGCCGTGGACTTTAGAAGTCTCTCGTTTAAATGAACGGGGCTCGTGCAGCTGACGCATGCACAGATGGGTTTTTGCACAATTTTACCGCCGCTGTGGCCATTTTGAAACTGCCCATAGACCGCAGAAGGACTACGTCTGTTCATGTTTACAGTCTCTGGGTTAAAACGGTCCACTTTAAATCACTGATGTGTCATTTTGATCCGAGGGAAGCACACGGGTAAGAATCAATTCTGAAACAACTGAATAGACTTTAACAGCGTTATGCAAATGTATTACTGTACACACCACACTAAAATAACCCTAACACCATCTGATCATTTATAAATAAATCCTACAAGAATGATCTAAATGTGTAACTGAGTGTAACTGCAGTTCTACGACACCGTGAGGTTTAGGAGGTACATGTTTACAGACCACAGAGAGGTTTTGACAGTATGTTTCCAGAGATAATGCATTGTTTGACTCTGTAAACAAAGAAGGTGGGAGACCTTTGTGTGTCAGGTGTGTTTGTGAACGCACAGAGGGAGCACATGGACTCAGCGGAGGTCAGGGACCGACCAGTGCTTTCTGCTTTGGTTAAAAGGTTTGCTCTGACATCCAGGGTTCACCAGAACAATAATATACAGTTAGGTTAATAATAATATACATGTTTTAGTGATGTTCATAAAATACATGTTTTAGTAAACGTTGGATACATAATGATTCTCCACATGCGTGTGCAGACCTCAGAGCATGTTCCAAACCACAGGAGCATTTAGGCTCATTATGTTTGAACAATCCACTGATTCAGACTTAAGTCAGGCTTATGCAAATAGGTTCTCGTGTTTTTATCCTGATGATTTGACTGAACGCTCATTTTAACAGTTAAATAAACATTATCGTACTCTCTGCAGCGAGATCCTCAGGCCTCAAAGGTTCGATCGGTTTAGATTCTGAAGCTGTTAAATATCTTTGAACCATGGATCCATTTATTTGAACTTCCCATGAGCTGCTGCTGTGTTTACATCCCATTATTGTCTCAGGAGGGTGTTGATCCTATGGGTGGAGGACAGCAGACTCACAACGCAAACTTCAATGTGTAAAGTCCGATCTGACTCAGTTAAAGTCAGTGATAAATTAAACAAACTCCACAGACTTTTGAAATGAAGCCGCTGCAGGACTAAACCCCGTCTGTGGGACATAAACGTTATTATCATAGATCCATGGACACAAAGCATTTGTTTTGTTGGAATCACAGCTGAAAAAACATCCAAAATAAACATTTTAAAAAGTATTTTGAAAATGGACTAATCCATAATAATCCACGTTTTAACAAACACATGCGTCACTCTGCACCGTGTGTGGATTTAATACACACAGTCAGAGAGACACACACACACACAGTCAGAGAGACACACACACACACACAGAGAGACACACACACAGTCAGTGAGGGACACACACACACACAGTCAGTGAGGGACACACACACAGTCAGTGAGGGACACACACAGTCAGTGACACACACACACACACACAGTCAGTGAGGGACACACAGTCAGTGACACACACACACACACAGTCAGTGACACACACACACACAGTCAGTGAGGGACACACACACACAGTCAGTGACACACACACACACACACGTGTGACCGATGTCACACTGACTCAGATAAGACGCTGTGAACGATCGCACACCTGCTTCATCAACACAAACACAATGTTATGGAGGAAACATGACACACACAGTTTCCACACGTGTTCTTGAATCAGGAACAGGAAACACAAACCTCACAAACAACTGTCCATCCATCTTCTTCCCCTTAATCCATGTCTGGGTCGGAGGTGGCAGTCAGAGCACCAGCCCCTCACTGATCCTCCTGCAGGTGCTGAGTCCACAGGAGCTGAGATCTTTCAGTGGGAGCTTCAGGCAAAGTGGGGCTATGTGTCTTGCCCAAGGACACAACGACAGCAGTCATCAGTGGGAGTCGTGAAGTAGGTCTTGCGGTGGGCTCGAACCCACAACCTTCAGGCCCAAAGGCCAATGCTCTACACACTCCCCAAAGTGAGCATGAGATGTCTTCATTTAATGTTTAGACTGTAAAAAAAACAAATTCACTGAAGTCCAATTAATCCATGAAAACTGCACTTTGTGACTCCTCCCATTATTCTGGTTTCCAAAGTTACCAACGTTTCTCCGTTGCTAACTCATAAATATATATCGTGACATCACTCACTCACATTTGGTGAACAATCTTTTAAACTTCTCTACTTTAAAGATTGTTCACCAATAACACACAGATCTGACTGGTCCTGGTCACCATGGTTACCAAGTTTCCAATGATTGATGAATAAGATAAGTATAATTTGAAAGTGCAGCGGCTGGAGGTCAGCTTCACACAATCACAGTTAAAGGACACACATTTGGTCGTTCTGGTTCGTCACCGTGACAATAGTTTCCAAACTAGCAAAGCCCCAAAGGAACTTTCTGTTCACGACACTTTAGGGTCGTTTTAATCAGTGAGTTCCAGAGTTACAGGACGCACCAAAGCCCTGGATCAACAAACCCCTTAGAATGGTTTCTGCTTCTTGCACATACAAAAAATGTACTTTTATAGCTAGAAATACCTAGAATTTATATAAATAAATAATTATATTATAATAACCATGGCATTTACAAAGGGAGAGTTTACCATTTCAGTTTGGTGACCGCTAAAGTCAAAATGCCAGCAGCAGTTTTCTCCTCAGATCAGAGTTGAGAAATATTTATAATTTCCTTACTTCCCTAAAAAGGAAACGTCTCAGCAGTTCATTTAAAACACCGTTTAAGAGGAACATTAAAAAGACCTGATCCTGTTGCAGAGACACGAGGAGTCAAAGAGTGGCTCAAATGTAAAGGAAACATTGACAAATACATGTTTCAGACTCAGATCAGTCTCTGGATCATTCTGTGACAGATTAACGCCCACAAGAATAACAAAAAAAAAACATCAGTAAATCACTTGCTCTAAAAAGAAATTTAAAAAAATTATTCTACCCTTTGAAAAAAACTCTGAAAATATGTAACAAACTTCAAAGGATCACATTGTTATATAAAATAAAAAGGCTTAAAGTGATTGTCTGCAGTTTGTCAGAGAGAGACAGAGAGGTACTTGATTTGAAAAAACGACCCAAGCTCCTCCCCCTTGAATTGTTAATCAGAGAACACATTATACATATACATTATTAATACACATGCACGGAGGTTCAGAATTATTTGTTAACGTTTTAATGAAAAAAATGTTTTAATGCACAAAAAAAGAGATCGCGGCAAATCAGGAAGTGCTGTTATCATGAACTGCACATTATAGAAACATCTGCAGAGGATCTGATTATGGTTCAGTATGTAAATGATTGACAGCCCTAGGCATCACCTGATTGGTTAACGTGGACGGCACCGTGGATTCTGAGCTATAGCTAAGAGAAGGGAAGGCGGGACTTACCGTAATATTATAATTAATAAAATGACTTATTTTATTTCAACATTTAAGGCCAGGAGGTCAATTTAACACATTTCCTAACATTTGTTTTTCATTTAGAGTTACAGACTATCACTTTAAGAAACTGGACTAATTTATAAAATTCTTAGCAACTTCTATTGAAAAGAGGGATTTGAACCCATGAAAAGATTAAAATCCTTCTGTACCCTTTAGAATGAGGAAGTCCTTTTCTACTTTTTCTTTGGTTCAACCTCAGAAAACGCCTAAAGCTCAAAAACAAAAGTACAGACACAAAAGACACGTGCGCAATTTGCATTTATCACCTTTATTTTATATTTTTCATTTCTCCTCTTCAAACACATTTTTTCCTGATGTACATGTTCCATCCAAACAAGGAAAAAAACTCAAGTGAGGTAAAAAAGTGCTGAAAATGAAACGGTATAATATCTGTACCATCAAAAGTCATCGTCACAATCACAAAGCTGACAAAATAAGCTCTTCTTGCATTTCAAAAATATATTAGATAATGCGACAAATATATATTAACCCCACTTTTCTCTTAATAAACTTCTCCTCATACACGCATGCACCGTAAACACCATCCGCTGCAAGAGGAGGAAAACTGATTCTTTTTAAACAAACGCCCGCCTCCGTCACACCCTTTTGGCGTCCGACCGATCGCCAAATACGTCCCCGTGGCCGCCATCACGACAGACGGCCCCAACAGGCGTTTGTAGAAGGCTACGCGCTTCACCCAAGACCTCCGAGAGCGGTCCGAGATCAGGGAGGTGATGAAAGCTACCGGGCGCAATAACACTGACAAAACAGCAGCAGAAAACACAAAAAGTGGGGGTAAAATAATAAAAATAATAACCCCTCCCCAAAAACAAAAACACACCATAATGTCATGATTTTCCATCGTTTCCCCACTACACATACACGTACATCATCTCCTGACGCGAAGAAGAAGGACTAATGCTCGGCTCAAGTCAGGAGAAAGCAAATCGTAAACTTCGAGGTTCTAGAAAATACAAAAAGAGTGCATTTTCTTTGACGTCGTACCAACAACGTACGGCGCCAACTAGAGGATAAAAAGGGGACTTCAAACTGGCAGTGTCCGAGCTGGTTTAACCAATCAGCCACAATCGCTTGAGAAACTAGACTTTTTGTTGCCATTTTTTTTTTTTTTAAACACATTGATTGCAGAGAAATCTAAATGCGACAAAGACAAGCCAGACCAGCAGGGACCCCCCCAGTCCCAGCTAGACCTAGTCCAGTAAATCGGACAAGAATAGACTCCTCGACTGAAGAGAAAAGCCGGCCCTGTGATACCTCCTGATGTCCCTGAGAAGCAGCAGCTCTCGCCCTCGTCTGTCCCAGGCTCTCCCTCCTGCAGCACAGACATCCTTGGACCTGTCAGTGCACCTCAGATATTGCTTTTTTGCATCTTTAACATTTGGCATCTACTGTTTTTGTTTTTTTTTTTACAATACGCTACAAGCAGCACAACAGGGATAAGAAGTTTGGGAATGACAGATACAGAAACTAAAAAGATCCAGACAAAAACATTCCCCATAACCATTTCATCATGTCCAGCCAACACTAGATTAAATCCCTTTGACTTAAAACAATCCCATTAAAATGAAAGTCACGTTTGAAAGGCACTTGAGTTTCTGTTTGGGCGCACAGCAGCCTGCCCTGAGCCCGGGGTGTGACCTGCAGACACGCTGACCCTTCCACAGTGACGATAACACTGCTGCTCTGTGTTTACAGCTGATAAGAGCCGCAGAGTCCCCAAAAGGAGCCGTGTGGGACCGTGGCCCACTCGGATGGAGTCACACCCGTCACAGATCAGACTTCATTTACATACAAACGCGTGAAAGTTTGACGTCATTAGCTACATGCTTTGGGCGCTCAGTCCAGACTCGGGGCCAGAGCATGTGCTGCTGCCACAGTTCAAATGTGACGACTAAATATAGCACGAGCGGAAATAGAAGTGCATCCTCGTCATAAACTCCGCTGTTGGGGGTCAGCAGCTACAGAATGCTTTGGGATCTACGATAAATCAAATAGGTCCCAAAGATGACCCAGATGTGTGTAGTATGTGTTTGTGTGTCCAGCCATGACCACAAAAGGGAACTCCCACAAAGACCTGGATAATTATAGACGTCAGAGGCGTCTGAGGGAGGCCCTGTGCCTCGCCATGTGCTGCTCCTTTTAAGGGAAGACGATGAGCTGCAGGACGTCCAGAGACGGTCCTTAAGGCCACACTTCACTCGTACATTCACAGCTTCAATAAAAGCACTGCTGCTTCACATACATTCACATCGTATTAAATCAAAGCAATAGTTTTCGTGGCGTCTCCCCTGGGGCCACAAAACGTACATTTTACACCAGTGCAGATATTTTTGGCAAACTCTCCAACGCTTTTCACATTTTTTTTTGCATTTTGTCCCCAGGTCTCATATCTAAAAAAGGCATTTAACACTTTCTTCATCACAAAACAAAATCTATTGGGGCTAAACCTGACTTAAGGCACATGTTAACAGCTCTTTGAAGAAACACAAAGGCAGGGGAACACTTAAAATAACTCAATCGACCAAGGCCACTTGTATACGGAATGAGAGGATCCCAAAACACAAAACCTAACAAATGTCCACTTAAACACATTTAATCCTTGAAGAAAAGCATTTATTGCCAATTGTATGGAAAGTTTTTAAACTTTTTCCCTTGAATGTAAAGCGGGAGGGCGTCCGTTCTCCTGCCGTCAGTTACACGGGAGCCACGTGGGAATGTTCTGATTGGCCACGTAGTAGTTGCTGAAGTTGTGGTCTCGTACGTAGGGCGCGGGCTGGTAGTAGCAGGTCACACAGGAGGCGTCGGGGATGGCGTTCTGCTCGGCCAGAACCCTGAAGGCCATGAGGGAGATGAGGTGCAGAGTCTGGCGCCGCTCGTGCCCCATCAGACACACCGTGCTCTCGTTCACCACGCGCCGCAGCAGCATCAGATATTCGTACTTGCTCTTCTCTTCGCCCACAAAGTGGCTCTGCAGATATGCTTCCACTTTGCGTTGCTGCTCGCCAATGTCCGGAAAGTCGATGAAGAAGCGGGAGCACATGTAGCGCTCCAGGGCTTTGAACTCTTCCTCATCTGCAGGGCGGAAGTCTCGCACCAGCAGGTTACAGTACTTCAGCAGGCCTCCGCCCCGGATCTCCTCCGGCCGCTTTGTGGCTATGAGTTTGTTTTTGAGATGACTCAGGGCGACGTCAAAGTCTCCGTACACACTTTCTCCCTCCACATGAGGGTGATACTCCAGGGACATAGGTTCTATGGACAGGTCATAGAAGGACAGCGTAGAGTCCAAGATGATCTGAAACGAGTCCACACTGAACTCAAACTGTCGGCGGATGGAGTCCACAAACTTGAGCTCCACGTTCCGCCCGTTGTTGTTGGAGAGGGAGATGAGGCTCCAGCGGTTCTGCTCCGTGTGCACCTTCACCAGCTTCTGCACATAGGCCTCCTTCAGAGTCATGGGAGTGATCTTCTCCTTGTTCACTCCCTCAGGCAGAAAGTCCAGCAGCGTTCCAAGCACCACCTCCTTTATGAGCTGGAACTCTGCTTCGTGGGGAAGGTCCACTCTGAAGATCACATCCAGGTCTTTGTAGCTCCAGCCCTGGTCTTGGACCAGGACGTGGCTGGCCGTGGAGCCGTTGAGGCGCATGTCTTTGACCCTGATGCCACTGCGCTCCAGACGAGCCCGGACACGGGACACGACGTCCTTCAGCCGCACCTCTAATGTGGGAAAGTTCCCTCGGCCGTGCACCGGCACCACCTCTGACAGCACATCATTCAGGCGGCTCACCTGCTCCCAGGACAGGACACTGACACTGCAGGGCTGAGCTTCACTCTCCATCATGTCACTAACAAAGGATATCTGTAAACACAGAGTCACATAAGGATCTATAGTGTCATCATCATCATCGAGAAACAGGATTGTGAATAAACTAAACAGTTAAACAGTTAGTGACCTCAGCACAGAGAGCAGGTGAATCTACACATATCAGGACATAGTCATTTCCAAAAGTCCAAATGAAGTCATAGTGGCATGACAGTTTAAACACTTTAAACAGGGGAACATTTACTAAAACTATACACTCTGAGTTTAACAAAATGGTTTAGCCTCTGATCCTGAAACACACTCATCCAACTGTATGGATCGGAATTGGCTCAGAGTAGACCGCTCTTTCACATGTGAGCAGAACATTCACTGAGTGAGAGCAGAGACCAGAGAGAGAGAGAGAGACCAGAGAGAGAGAGAGAGAGAGAGAGAGAGAGAGACCAGAGAGAGAGAGACCAGAGAGAGAGAGAGAGAGAGAGAGAGACCAGAGAGAGAGAGACCAGAGAGAGAGAGAGAGAGAGAGAGAGACCAGAGAGACCAGAGAGACCAGAGAGAGAGAGAGAGACCAGAGAGAGAGAGAGAGACCAGAGAGAGAGAGACCAGAGAGAGAGAGAGAGACCAGAGAGAGACCAGAGAGAGAGAGAGACCAGAGAGAGAGAGAGACCAGAGAGAGAGAGAGACCAGACGACCAGAGAGACCAGAGAGACCAGAGAGACCAGAGAGACCAGAGAGACCAGAGAGACCAGAGAGACCAGAGAGACCAGAGAGACCAGAGAGAGCAGAGAGAGCAGAGGAAGGGCAGAGGTGAGAGCGTGACCCACTGGAGCGTGCACGAGGACAGCAGAGCGCGAGCCTTTGATCAGTGTGATAGACCCAGAGACAGACCCAGAGACAGACCCAGAGACAGACCCAGAGACAGACCCAGAGACAGACCCAGAGACAGACCCAGAGACAGACCCAGAGACAGACCCAGAGACAGACCCAGTTCACTCCGGTCACAGCTCGTTCCACCGACAGAGTCAAACATAAGTTGAATCCTTTATATTTCCGCACAGATGAAGAATCCGCAGAGAATCCGTTAACATCCCCCACAGTCGGAGCAGTAAAGTCAGAGCACTGAAGCTGACGTGACGTTACAAACACACACAGAGTACGTACGTTTCCACAAACAGGCTCCGAGAGCAGCAGGTCTGGTCCGACAGAGAGAGGTTAGGTTGGCAAACAGCTCCACATAATCCACCGCACACACATGTGGCTGGACAAGGCTTACTCTGGCGTCACCGCGGACACGCCTGCTTTATACTGCGGAGGGACGGCCCCTGACGCAGCCCCTGACGCAGCACCGCCAACCACCGGAACCGGACCAGACCAGGACCCTGGACCAGCACAGAACTGTACAGACCAGCCCCAGACCAGCCCCAGACCAGCCCCGGACCAGACCCGGACCAGTACAACACACGTACCTTGTATTTTCACCAGATGTGGCAAAAACCAGGTCAAGTAGTCCAAACGTTGGGGTTGTGTATCAAAGCGCCAGAGCCGGTCTCTGGTTGGTCCACCAAGTTTATGGCGTTACTAAGTAACCAGAACCTTCACATTCAAAACGCCGGCTTAAAAAATAATAATATTAAAGATCAAACAATAACAGTGATGATGATCATAATAACAATAACAATAACAACAATAATAATAAAAATAGTAATAATAATACATCATGAGGACGTTAACAACTTAGATTAATGATAATGACTCATTATTGTTTCTATAGTTGATACATGTGTTTTATGATGTGTAGAAAATGACGTGATGTTTGTGAAATTCATGATACACAAACAGAAAGCACATTATTACAAACATTATTAACAAACTCACACATTCACAAAACTAATTCTTCTAACATAATGACATGAACTGTTCTTAGTGTAGTCCGTATTAACAACATCATCACAATATTTCTAAGTTTAACATTTTCCAAGAATAATTTGGACTAAACAGCAACACAATGATACAACTAGGAACAGAAACCATACAATAAAAAACAAATATATAAATACTGTATATTGAAAGATTCTATTTATACAGTAAAGTGATAAACAAAATATGTTTTGTTTTTTGCTTTAGAAATAAACATATTTCCCAAAAATATAACTACATTTATAAAAGAGACACAATTATCCCCCAAAATACACAGCACAACGTTCTTTTGTGTGATTATAAAGTGATTCCCACAGTCTTTAAACTAGACGGACATCTAAAAGTTTGCAACGAATAGACGATAATAAAATATGTGCAATAGTCCTCCTCTTCTGTTTAACTCTTTAGGTTAAAGGGCCCTAATCTGTCACCATTAAAGGGCCCTAATCTGTCATCATTAAAGGGCACTATTCTGTCATAATTAAAGGGCCCTAATCTGTCATCATTAAAGGGCCCTATTCTGTCATAATTAAAGGGCCCTAATCTGTCATCATCAAAGGGCCCTAATCTGTCATTATTAAAGGGCCCTAATCTGTCATCATCAAAGGGCCCTAATCTGTCATAATTAAAGGGCCCTCATCTGTCATAATTAAAGGGCCCTAATCTGTCATCATCAAAGGGCCCTAATCTGTCATCATTAAAGGACCCTAATCTGTCATCATCCAAGGGCCCTAATCTGTCATCATCAAAGGGCCCTAATATGTCATAATTAAAGGGCCCTAATCTGTCATCATTAAAGAGCCCTAATATGTCCTCATTAAAAGGCCCTAATCTGTCATCATTAAAAGGCCCTAATCTGTCATCATTAAAAGGCCCTGACCTGTCATCATTAAAGGACCCTAATCTGTCATCATCAAAGGGCCCTAATCTGCCATCATTAAAGGGCCCTAATCTGTCATCATCAAAGGGCCCTAATCTGCCATCATCAAAGGGCCCTAATCTGTCATAATTAAAGGGCCCTAATCTGTCATCATCAAAGGGCCCTAATCTGTCATCATCAAAGGGCCCTAATCTGTCATCATTAAAGGGCCTTAATCTGTCATCATCAAAGGGCCCTAATCTGCCGTCATCAAAGGACCCTAATCTGCCATCATTAAAGGGCCCTTATCTGCCATAATTAAAGGGCCCTAATCTATCATTATCAAAGGGCCCTAATCTGTCATCATTAAAGGGCCCTAATCTGTCATCATTAAAGGGCCCTAATCTGCCATAATTAAAGGGCCCTTATCTGCCATAATTAAAGGGCCCTAATCTATCATTATCAAAGGGCCCTAATCTGTCATCATTAAAGGGCCCTAATCTGTCATCATTAAAGGGCCCTATTTTTTCATCATCAAAGGGCCCTAATATGTCATCATTAAAAGGCCCTAATCTGTCATCATTAAAGGAATAATCTGTCATAATTAAAGGGCCCTAACCTGTCATCATTAAAGGGCCCTAATCTGTCATCATTAAAGGGCCTTAATCTGTCATCATTAAAGGCCCCTAACCTGTCATCATTAAAGGGCCCTAATCTGCCATCATTAAAGGCCCCTAACCTGTCATCATTAAAGGACCCTAATCTGTCATCATCAAAGGGCCCTAATCTGCCATCATCAAAGGGCCCTAATCTGTCATCATTAAAGGGCCCTAATCTGTCATCATCAAATGGCCCTAATCTGTCATCATTAAAAGGCCCTATTCTGTCCTCATTAAAGGGCCCTAATCTGCCATCATCAAAGGGCCCTAATCTGTCATCATTAAAGGGCCCTAATCTGTCATCATTAAAGGGCCATAATCTGTCATCATTAAAAGGCCCTATTCTGTCCTCATTAAAGGGCCCTAATCTGCCATCATCAAAGGGCCCTAATCTGTCATCATTAAAGGGCCCTATTCTGTCCTCATTAAAGGGCCCTAATCTGCCATCATCAAAGGGCCCTAATCTGTCATCATTAAAGGGCCCTAATCTGCCATCATCAAAGGGCCCTAATCTGTCATCATTAAAGGGCCCTAATCTGTCATAATTAAAGGGCCCTAATCTGTTAGTCACCACTGAATCTACTTCATACTTACGTTTTTTCACTTCTTTTTAAAGTATTATTTAAATTATTGTTGGACTTATTGGTCAAAGTAAACGATGGATTACTGTTCCTCGTGAACCCTCATTCACTCAGCTCTCAGTTTGTCTTTGCTCCGTCATTCAAGGAAACTTTTAAACGGTGTGACTCAACTTTCAATTTTATTCAGTGAAAATACCCAGAGTCAGCAATCGAACGTTCCCAAGCCAAGCTAAACGTGAAGACAATAATTACTTTGTTTCCAGTTTCCAGTTACAGTTTCCGTGTAGCGACGAGTGAGCACTGTATATTGGTTTACTTTGCTTTGTCGAAACTCTCACCAACTCCACAGACTGAAGCGCCAGCAGGGGGCGCTACAGTCTGGCCTTGAGGGAACAAAAAGCGTGGATCAGTTTTTCCGCGTCACTTTTAGGATATTCGTGATTTTAGCTCATGCCAGAATTTCTAAATAACTTTTCCAGCCCCTAAATCTTGTTATTGTTTTCATTTCGATGTCCCGCCCTCCACCGTTTTACCAATCAGAAAGTCCGTGATCCGGGCGCCAGAACTCACCGTGTGGAGCTAATCTCACTGGTAAAGTACCATGTGGCACAGAACTAAAAAAGGCCTCGTTATGATTCTCAAATCATTAACGACAAAACAAGGAATAAAACCAGGATTTCTATCTTTGTGAAAAAGGTGTTGGTTATAGATTTGTTGTTGACAAAACTCTTGTCTATTCAGCTGTTATGGTCCCAGCTGGATTCGTCTGCATATCTGGCAACCTGAGTCAGGGAGAGTGGGAGAGGCTGCAGTACCACTTTTGGCCACATGTTTACACACTGCTCCTTTAACACTAAGCTAACACAATAAGACACAACCCAGACGTTGACAGTTACCATAGTTACCAGGAAAACATTCTCAACTGCCCTGAACCATGACTGAACATAACAAACTCTTTGGGACGTTGTGATGTCACATGATTACGGTGCAGCTGCAGAGTAAAGGGGCTTCACAGCGTTTCCTCTGACGTCCTGTTATCGTCGGAAACAGGCACAAAAAACACACAAATGACTCCAACACCGGGTTTTTCAGTTTCCTTCTCTTCGTGGTGAATTATCGGTGATTATTTTCCCCAAAGGTCGAGCTTGAGTCATCGTGAACTTTCAGAGAGTTTTCAGACTGATTTAACGTAAGAGTAAAAGTCATAGTTTGGTCATTTGGATTCATAGTTTCATAGTTTCATGGTTTTGAAAGTTTTACCCCGAGGAAAGTAACTGCTACAAAGAGATTAGAGTTGGTCTGAGTCGCTTTGTTGCATTTTTTTTAGACATAAAATTCTCAAAACTATGAGTTCAACCTCCACAACATTGAGCCATGTAAGTAAAGTAAAGTTTTAATCATATAGCACTTTTAGAAAAATAGCACAGTATAAAAAATAAATAAAAAAAAACTTTCGGAACAGGGTCTTTCTGAGTGGAGTTTGCATGTTCTCCCCGTGCTTGTGTAGCTTAAATCCTCCAGCTCTGGTCCTGACCAAGCCGAGCATCAACATCTGGAGATGGGTTCTCGGGCGCTGTTACCACGGCGACCACTGCTCCTGACGTAAGCCTTAGCAGCATCAGGATGGGTCAAATGCAGAGGATGAATTTACGGGGATCAATAAAGTGCAGCTTCACCTTTTTACAGACCAAGCTCACTCAAAGCGCTTTACTAAGTTCCTAGTTCAGATATTGTTCCAGTCTCTCTCCACACGGTGATGACGGACACACTGGTCCATCAAAGCCTCCGACCAAACACCCTCCACTCACTACATTCAGACCTAAAGTACATGTTTGTAGTACAATAGAACATGGACATGACTTTAGGGAAAAGTGTCAGAATTTGCTGGTTTTGAAAGAGATTTCTGAGACAATAATAAACATAACTCTCTCCGTCTCAATCATACAATAATAATGATTCATGTTCAGCTCTGATTGTGAAACACTGAGCTCTCTCTGATCTGAACAGAGTCAGAGCAGTTTCATGTGTTCACAAACTGATAATGAAGCAACAAAGTCAACTTCAGCCCCAGGTCTCACTCTGCAAACACTGTTTACAGGAACCGGCTTCTCCCTCCAGAGGCTGTGTGTACGAGTGTGTGTGTGTGTGCGCGTGTGTGTGCGTGTATAATGCAAATAGATACTTTCTCTTAAGGTAAAATAACATTGGTTATTGCTAAAGATATGCAGCTGATCATTTTGTTCTTACGTGTTGGAAAAACTATTTGTTCTGCTCTAGTTTAACAGTGTGTTACCGTGTTCAAAGTTGTGTTGACACATTTCTCTGCAGTCATGAATGAAACATTATTACGGAGGAAAAAGGTCAATAAACTGATACTTCCTGTGACACTTGTCTGTGGTTACACACAGAGACACACTAACACACACACTCACAGAGAGAGACACACACACACAGAGAGACACACACTCGCAGAGAGAGACACACACTCACAGAGAGACACACACTCACACAGAGAGACACACTCTCACACAGAGAGACACACACTCACACAGAGAGACACACACTCACACAGAGAGACACACTCACACAGAGAGACACACACTCACACAGAGAGACACACACTCACACAGAGAGACACACACTCACACAGAGAGACACACTCACACAGAGAGACACACTCACACAGAGAGAACACACACTCACACAGAGAGACACTCTCACACAGAGAGACACACACACTCACACAGAGAGACACACTCTCACACAGAGAGACACACACAGAGAGACACACTCTCACACAGAGAGACACACACTCACACAGAGAGACACACACTCACACAGAGAGACACACTCACACAGAGAGACACACACTCACACAGAGAGACACACACTCACACAGAGAGACACACACTCACACAGAGAGACACACTCACACAGAGAGACACACTCACACAGAGAGACACACACACTCACACAGAGAGACACTCTCACACAGAGAGACACACACACTCACACAGAGAGACACACTCTCACACAGAGAGACACACACTCACACTGAGAGACACACTCTCACACAGAGAGACACACACTCACACAGAGAGACACACACTCACACTGAGAGACACACTCACACAGAGAGACTTGAGAGAGACACAGGGAGACAGAGAAAGACAGAGAGAGAGACAGACAGTTTAGAATAGTTCAGAACATTAAAGGAAACAAAGTAAAATGAAAGCTTGAGCTAAAACTTGTTCCACTGAATCATGAATCTGCTGCAGTCGCTGAAGGGACAGGATTGGGCGGAAGTGTCAGAGTTTACTGGTTTTGAAAGAGATTTCTGTGGAAAATGTCACAATAATGAAACTTTGGGTAAATGAAAGTATACTTTATAAGACTCATAGTGAAAGTGTTTTCTGCATTTGACCCGTCCTGGAGAATATTACCCATGATCCTTTGGGTGGAGGGAGAAACTGGACTATTTGAAATACCCTTTTTTTGACTAAACACAAAATGAAACGTTATAATAAAAAACACAGAAGAATCGAAGCAGAGGCAGTTTTGGTAACATATTTATTGTGTTTAGATTTTAAACATATTTACAGATACTTTCATTTAAGTTTTTTTTTTCACTTCAGTAAAAATACAAATACAGAACACTCATTTGTCCAAAATCGGGATGACGTCATCGTGATGTCAGAGAGAAGGGGGCGTTAAGACCTGTTCATGTTTCAGCACTGTAAAAACAACACTTCTGACTTTTCAAAACAAAACGTCTGAAAACTGATCTCATTATTTTGCAAAAGAAACAAAAAATCCACACAGATATGTCCGGAGATTTAAAAAACATAAACAAAACAAAAAATCATAAGGCATTTGTGAAAGATATTAAATTACTAAAATAAATTCAGACAAGCATAAAAAACATGATTAAGCTCAGAATCGGCTTCACATTTTAGAATAAGGCTTGAAATGAACCGGACACAAAACTCCAACTTTAGTGCAATTCCTGCTCTTCACCTTCAGTAGTCTGCACTCAGCGTCACACCGGGATTTACGGGAAACAGAAAAGACATGTAGAATTATGACGAAAACACAATATTCTGTACTTCTGCTTTGATAAATAGTGAGAACTGTCAGACTGATTATTGGGTTCATTATCTGTGGAAACCTTTCACATTTTTTTACCTTTTAAAAGATGTTTTACTTCATTTTGTTCCGTAAACTGTAAATTGCTCACCCACAAAACTTAGAAAATAAGTTTTGCTCCAGCTCGACTCCATTCACTCTGAAACCGTTTGAGTCGAGGTCAGTATTTTGGGGCAAGAAAAAAGAATTAAATCATTATTAATCTCTACGTTATCCTGGAGTTTCTACTGCTGCTGTAAATACAGATATCACCCTAAGAGCTGACCAATCAGGAGCCTCCTCTCTCCAAATTTAGCAAATAACAAGACCACAAACAAACCAGCCTTGCTCCTGATTGGCTCTTTGGTTGCTAGGTGGTTGCTATGGAGAGAATTTGGCTCCAGATTCGCTTTTGGAGACTTCTTCCGGAACAATCCAAATGCAAAGAGAGACGTCAGTGCTTGTTTCACACCGAGACCGTACTCTAGTTTTTGCATCAGCGCAGATATGTTGGAAAAGTAGCTCTTTGATGTTGGAATTCACAAATTCTAAACCTTTGATAAGAACCAAAAATAAAAATAAAAACAGGAAAAATGATAACTGTCTTGTTGTGAAATGGTTGATTCCATTTGCGGTTGAAATGTAACAAACATTAAATATTTGAAGGGAGTCAATCTTACTCTTCAAGGACCAGTCAAGTTTCATATGGCTCCCCCTAGTGGCCGGGTTGAGAACTACTCTGTGTTGTGAAAAGCACTTACAATCTCTGGATCATTTGGAGGCAATGTGACGTGTGAGAAAAAGAATAATTAGTGCGATGTATTACAAACTAAACTGAAACAGAGCCTTCATGATATTAATGATATTAGCATGAGGTACGTATGAAAGTGCTGAATAATAAAAAGGCGCTGGGAAAGTGTAAAGGAGGCGTTACAGATCATGACATTTAGCATTAACACAACACAAAGGTTGCATCCAGTAAACAGCGTCTCAAAAAGCCTCAGAAACTAAAGTTAGGTCTTCATTCTAAGTGCTGCC